TTTATCTATTGCAAAGGCTGTCTCCCTACTGGGGGTGTGTTTTCCTTCCCTCTGTGTCCCACAGAGAGAAGAAGAGGAGAGGGGGCTACCTCTCCACTCCCCTTAACAGGAGGAGTAAGCTAATTGGCTTTCTATGTGAGGCAACGCCTCTTGGACCCGCCTCCTAATTTTAGCAAGGGCTTCCAGTCTAACCTGGCTGTCAAAGGGTTAACATCGTCTCCAAACCCTATGGTCCAAACCTAGTGCATTTAATGCACAGACAGCGCATCTCACCCGTGGGTGTTGTGGCTGTGACACCCCTACTTTCACTAAATGTACACTTTTTACTAGTGGAGTCATTAAAAGAAAACTTATCGGTCAAGTAAGATTTATTAAGTGACAACTAAGCCAATCATATCTATTTGATTACAGTTGAAGCACAGTAAGGTTACATTTGCATTTAATCCTCCTGTCACTCATCACTGAGTCAGAGCTCAGAGCTAACACATGGAAACATGCTGCATGTAGCATCCTTCTGAAAGAGAGTAAGTCACCCAAACAGAGGTTTTTAAGATAAATCCACCTCACAAAACCAACGTAAGTGTAACATTTTCTCCTCTTGGTTGTTATTTTAGCTGTATGTATTTACTCCCATAACTTTACGATGTAGCAGAAGTCCCCTTTGCAGTTTTTTCTAAATAAAAGCACATTTTATGTGAAGACCGGAAATAAAGAGACTGAGGCGTAAGGCAATAAGAAAAGCAAAATAATGGCATCACAAAGAACCGTTTTGAATCTGATTTCTAGAGCTAACTCGGTTACTCACAATGGATGTTCATAAAGTTAGTGTCTAATTATCTTTTGTAACTTTGTCTTGTTATATGATGTTTCAGCTAAACTTAGTTATTGGACATTAAATGAAACAGAATGTGTTGATTTCCTAGAGGGTGGTAATATACTAGCACAGAACACACACACTTTTAAGATCACTGCTCCACCCCTGTGCACAGAGTCTACGCACACAGAAATCAGCACAGTATCTCCCAATCAACAGCAAAATAGAAAATGTATTCTCTAATAGTCAAAACCAACTTCTTCACCTATTTTAAACCAAACTATATGTTCTTTTTGAACAGACAAAATTCGCAGCATAATGTGGTCACACACATACGCTCAAACAGACAGAAAGAAAAGTTCACACTCCAATCAGCCGGCAGTTCTAAACTTTATCAGGAATTTTTCTGTTCTTTTCTCGAAACTTGCTACCTGAATGGGTACAGACTATCCTCGCTGGTCTCTCCACTTCTGTTAAAAACAGATACTATATACACTTATGCTATGTATAAACGTCCTTTATTAGGCTCATGTGTATTTATCAGATTAAACAAACATCCTCTGAGGGGCTCATAGATTTTTATCAAATTGAATATATAAAGTCCCCTGAAACAAAGGGCTCATAGGTTTTTAACACTGATGAAGATCAGATAAGTAAAAGTCCTCTGAAACAAAGGCTCATATTTATCAAATCGGATATATAAACATCCCCTTAGACAAAGGGCTCATAGATTTTTAACACTGATGAAACAAAAATGTCCCCTCTTATAAGTTACTAAATCGCCTTTTAACCAATCACCTGCTATATATGCCTATTTAATAATACATCTATTCTATTTATCAATCACACATATACAAGAACATTTCCGGATCAAATACACATCTCCACACCACACAGACCTCTCAAAACCATCCAAATCACAACACAAGAGACAAGACACAGACAGAGACAGAGACCGTCCAGCAGCCACACAAACACTTCAGGCTGTATAGAGCTTGCGCCACACACATTCCAAGAACAGCCGCGCCTCAGCGAGCGCACACACATTTCAGTTCAGATTTTGAAGTCGACTTATTTATAATTTTCCTCTATCAAATCTTTTACTTTGGTCAAACTTTTAACAAATTGTCTTTTAACAAATTACTTCAGACTGCATGCTTCAATGCACACTTTTTCCTTTACTCAGCGCTTTTTTCCCACTTTTCTCAAAACTCTTATCTTTATTCCTTATCTTCACTTTTCATCTTTTTACTTCTCATCTTTACCCTTCTCATCTTTATTTCTTCTCTTTTATTTTCCTACATTATACGTTTATCATCTATTCAAATACCCTTTGTTTTATTTTTACTCAAATTTGACTACTTCTTAAAGCCAACTTTCACTTCAGTGTCTAATTTACACATGACTTACTGTTAAGAGGATACGGGCCCTGTCCTTGTTAAACTTGCATAGTTTTTTAGCTAACTGGTCTCGTTACTAGTTGCGCTTATGCTATCATTACCTTTCAACTTTATTCATCTCTTCTTCTCTTATTTATCTCTTCTTTATTTTATTCCCCTTTATTTATATACTTTTTAACTCAATAAACCCCAATTTAGACAGAGAATTACTCCAACATCAACACATCATTGCACTTCAGTTCTTTGACAGTGCGGCCAAAATTGCCGATAGACGACAGAAACAGCTCCGCAATATGTGCAGAAAAAAGAAAGAAACACTTATGAAGTGATGGAAATAATAAACAAGCTGTGGTCCACTGAAGAAGGCCCCAACTGATCCTGTTCCGTGACGCCAAAATTGATGTGGATTTCCTTGTTGTTGATATGTTTGATGATGAAGAAATTCGCCGTTGAGACTGACTTGCTTTCAAAGAGTATAATTTTATTTAAGCAAGAAACAGAATCACTGGTCACGTCTGACCAGGAGGATCAAGAAGCCAATAATGATCTCTGTCGAACACACAGAGACAATTGCTTATATGCATCTAAACATCTGTTTTCCGTCATGGGTCATAAAAACATCAAGTTACACAACCATATATGGCAATACTCCTATACAACACCTCAGTTTAAACATTCCACCTAAGGGGACTCCTAAATCTCCTTCAGATACTATCTCCAGACGCACCCATTGTAAACTTATATTATCTCTGTCCTGGTTACATCAGACATTTCACTACTTTAACAGCGCTGTTTTCTTTCTTTTTTTGTCAGACCAAATCCTTAAAGGTCCCATATTCTGCTTTTTCTGGTTTTATTTGTTCTTTAGTGTGTTTTCCAAGTGTCCTGTGCATGTTTAGGCACATCTATGTGCAAAAATTCAAAGTCCACGGAAACGCAGCTTCTCCTACGTCCTCCTGTTAGCTGTAGCATTAGCTGCATGTAACGCTCGGTTCTAGCCCCCCTCGATAACAATGTTCCAGTCCGACGTCATTGTCAGTGTGAGATCACTGATCTAAGCCCATTGGCTCGTTGTGGCCCTGCAGCTCATGTTGCAATTTCCGAGACGTGTGCTGAGCAACTGACCAATAACAACAGAGCGGATCTGCAGACCAATCAGAGCAGACTTGGCCCACGTGGGGTCTATCAGTGTGGGCTCAACAGAGTGTAGCTGACAGACTCAGAGCGGAGAGGGAGCAAGGAGGAGCAGTACATGAAAACAGACACTTTTTTTTGGACTTTATCTATTGTGAACGTACAAAAGTAGGAACATAGATTAAATATATGAACCCCAAAAAGGGCAGAATATGGACTCTTTAAAACGTTTTCGGCATGTCGTATTCTTTGGGGCTCTTGTTTATAATATGTTTTGTAGTGTTGAGTTTCACAGTGTAAAATGTGTTGGTGTGTTGGGCTTGAAATTTATATCAAATAATTGGTCGTAATGTTCCTAAAATTAATAATAATAATAATAATTATTATAATAATACATTTTATTTAAAGGAGCCTTTCAAAACTCTTAAAGTCAACTTACAGAGCAGAGATAAAAACAACAAAGTAACAACACAACGATAAAATTTACATTAAAAACACAAAATGACGAAAAATACTAACAATGTAAGGTTATGTCCACAAGGGGGCGCCAAAATCAACACAAACCAAAAGCTCCTCATAGGGGCGTTACATTAAAAAAAAAAGGAATCTTTTGGGCATGAGAATTTTCTAAAACATTTGAATCTCAGGACACAAATTCAACTCCTATGTGGATTATAATGCTATTTACTGCTCTGCTTTAACACAGCATCAGCTCTCACTTACAAGATGCTATTGATACTGTACAAGACACTTTTTTCTGAGTTAAAATATATCTTTACTACCAATAAATATAACATATGAATGTGTTATATATTATTTGGCAATAAGATTGTCTTATTTTGTATACAAAATCCAAGCCTTTTTATAACATAACATAAGACAGTTTAACTTCTTTTCTTTTGCAGGCTTGACCCTGTGGGACCGTGAAGACCTGATGAAGGATGTTGCAGAACGACCACAAAACTATAATGAATTTGAGATAGTTGCCTCTGAATCAATTGAGGATAAATCCTCTGCACTTGATGTTAAAGCATCACTGAAGGCAAGTTTCTTGTGTGGACTCATTCAGGTAGATGGATCAGCGAAATACCTGAACGACAGTAAGACTTCCAAAAACCAAGCCAGAGTAACACTGAAGTACAGAGCAACTACAAAGGTCCGGGAACTGTCGATGAATCATCTTGGAAGAGGAAATGTGAAACATCCTTATGTTTTTGACAAAGGAATAGCAACACACGTAGTCACAGCGATTCTTTATGGGGCACAAGCCTTCTTCGTTTTTGACCGAGAGGTTTCTCAAAAAGAAGATCAACAAGACATTGAGGGAAACTTGAAGTTAGACATCAAGAAAATACCTTCCCTTTCTATAGAGGGTGATGGTTCACTGAAAATGGAAGAAAAGGAAAAAGTTAGTGTTGAGAAGCTCTCCTGTAGTTTCTTTGGAGACTTTTCCCTTCAGAAAATGCCAACATCGTTTCAGGAAGCAGTGCAAGTCTACCAAAGTCTGCCTAAACTGCTGGGACCCAATGGAGAAAACGCAGTACCAATGAAGGTCTGGCTGCTGCCTCTGACAACTTTAGATTCTTCTGCTGCTAAACTTGTACGTCAGATAAGTATAACACTAGTACAAGACTCACAGAATGTCCTGGAGGACCTCAATGAGCTGGAAATGAGGTGTAACGAGGCACTGAGAACCACCACAGCAAAGCAGTTCCCACAGATCAGCAAAAAGATGAAAACTTTTAAAGGGATGATCTCTGGATTCAAGCTAGAATTCCAACAAACATTGGCAAAGAAACTTCCATCAATCCGAGGAGGAGGAGAAGAGGAGGCTGTGCTCGCAGATGTCCTGAGGAAAATACACTCTTCTCCATTCAACAACAAAAACCTGACTGAGTGGATGGATTGTAAAGAGAGAGAGATCTGTCTTTTAAAGTCTTTTAACAACATGATAAAGAACACCAAGACTGTTCCATCCCAAAATATTGATCAGGAAATTTTCAGTTCAGAATATGCTGTGTGTTTTGTTTTCACCTCACTGGGAAAAGATGAACCGTACCTCTCAGCTTTGTCAAACTACTTAAGACAAACACCCAAACCAGAAAACACTCAAGATCCACATACTCTGGATGTAGAGAAGGAACAATGGTATCTTTCCCATGAAGTGACAGATTCAATGAGGGAAAAAGCAAAGCTCTTCAGTGACTTTGCAGAGGCCAACCAGGAGAACAAGAACATTAAGTTCTTGACAGTTGGAATAACAAATGAGACACAGAAAGGTTCGAGCATCTACCTTTATAAAGGGGGCTTTTCTGTCACTGAGAACTTTGAGCCACCTTCAAAGCCTGAAACAGTCACAGTAAGAGACGTAAACCACAACAGTGTAACACTGAAGATTGATCCACCAAAGTTTGGATCAGAGAGCATCACCTCCTACTCTGTTGAGTACTGTGTCAGTGGAGAGGAAGGATGGAAACAACAGACAGCATCAAAACCTGAAGAGGTCACAGTGGGTGATCTGAGTCCAAACACAGAGTATAAGATCAGGTGCAGAGCAGTGACCTCTGTAGGTGTTGGACCAGCCAATCATGTCAGTGGTTCCATTAAAACCTTACCCTGCAGCCCTCCTGGAAAACTTCAAATTGAATCAAACTCAAGTGAGATATCAGTGAGCTGGAAGAAACCGGCTGAGCTTGGACGAGACGTCCACATTTTGAGCTACATCGTGGAGTACGCCAAAACAAACAAGAGAACAGACGAAGAGGAGGATCTCCAGTGGAAGCAAATGATAACAAGAGCTGAGAAGATGATCATTTCAGGGCTTCAGTCAGCGACAGAATATGTTGTCAGGGTCAGATGTGATTGTGGTGCAGCTGGCAGAAGCAAGGAGAGCATCACTGTGAAAATCTGCACTAGTAGACGTGAATTTGCGAGTCTTACAGAGTACCTCAAAAACATTAGCAAAAGGAAACTCTCTGCATCACCCTCAGTTTACAAACTGCCTCTGGAAAAAGAAGACATTGACATAGATGGATGTCGGAGGTTTAACTTGGGCAAAGAAAGCATGAGACAAAATCCCACAATAATGCTTGTAGGAGCGACCGGATCAGGAAAGTCCACTCTGATCAATGGAATGATCAACTACATTGTTGGAGTGAACTGGGAGGATGACTTCCGATTTAACTTAATTGAAGAGGATGAGTCCAGATCACAAACTGAAAGCCAGACTTCTGAAGTCACTGTGTACAAAATCAACCACCAGGAAGGGTTCAAAGTTCCTTTCTCTTTGACTATAGTCGACACTCCAGGGTTTGGGGATACAAGAGGAGTTGGGCGAGACAGGGAGATCACAGACCAAATTCGGAGACTTTTCACCTCTGACAATGGAGTTTGGGGGATTGATGCAGTGTGTTTTGTTACTCAGGCCTGTCTCGCACGACTTACAGCAACACAACGATATGTGTTTGACTCAGTTCTCTCCATTTTTGGAAAAGATGTGGCAGAGAATATTCAGATGCTGGTGACTTTTGCAGATGGCAAGCAGCCCCCCGTTCTTGAGGCTATAAATGTGTCAGGGGTCCCATGTCCAAAAAATGACATAGGGCTTCCAGTTCACTTCAAGTTCAACAACTCTGCATTATTTGCAGACAACAGATCCATCAGTGACAGGGCCTGTGATGAGGATTCTGATGATTATGGCAACTTTGATGAAATGTTTTGGAACATGGGTACCAAACGTATGGAGAAGTTCTTCAATGCATTGGTTAAAATGTCAACTAAAAGCCTGCTGATGAGATGAGATGATGAGATGAGATGAGATTCAACTTTATTGTCATTACACATATACAAGTATAGAGTAACGAAATGAGGTTTGGCATCTCACCAGAAGTGCAAATAAGCAGAAAGTGCAAGAGTCTGTGCTATGTACAGTAATTGAGTGCAAAAGTCTGTGCTATGTACAGTAATTGAGTGCAAGAGTCTGTGCTATGTACAGTAATTGAGTGCAAGAGTCTGTGCTATGTACAGTAATTCTGTGCTATGTACAGTAATTGCAAAATTTACAGATGTAGACAAAAAAAGTGAATTATTAAGTAAATCTGGATGGCTGGATTAATGGGATGCAATAAATATAAATAAATGCTATAAATAAGTAATGCTACAAAATAAGTGTGTTCTTAGGATTATAATATACAGATTAAGGTGCAGTGAGCATGCTATACTAATAATATACAGATTAAGGTGCAGTGAGTGACCCAAGAGGTTCTTAAAGAAAGAAAAGACATCGCCCTGAGGCCCAACCCTCTGACCACTCCACAGTACATCGACTTGCTGATTGAAGGAGAAAAGTCAGAGGCCAAAGAGGGTTATATGGCTCGAATTAGGGCTTTGGAGGAAATAAGAGACAAGGCAAAAATCATCTATAAAGTTTCCAAGTGAAAAACACTTGATGAAGAAGTGACAGAAGAAAAAGAAAAGAAAAAGAAAAACCCTGTCCAGAGAGTTTTTAATTATTTGGGATTTTAGGGAAAGAATTAAGATCTGCGGTACTAGCAGAACTGCGGACGTATTCCCATCAATCTAGAAGTTTAGCTCTGGTTTAAACTTTTAAAATAACCTCAAAGTACATCAGAGCATTGGTATGGTCATTCAAAACAAATGTATTCATGTGTTCATATTCATATTTGATAAAAAAATGTATTTCCTTTGTATCACATTAAGTGCATTTACATATACTTCAGTACCCCGTTTATGATCCTTAACCCTGTTTTAATCGTATTTGGGATCTGGTGTTTACATGCACGCAGAGAAACCTGGTTCTTCACATCCCTGTGTACAGTACATGATACATGATAGTGTCTGATCTGATTTCTGATTACTTCATATTATGTGTGCAGGCATCTGTGATGTTTATTTTAACAACACAAACCGCATCAATTCAGAAATCTGAGAAAATTGAGACCATTGTGAATTATTGCAAGCTAAGCACTATAAATGCCAACATGGCATTGCAGATATGACGTATCCACCTCATTTCCAGCAATAGAAGAGAGCGACAGTTAAAGTCAAACATTTCCTCCCCTCAGACTAGTGTCAGCCTGTCACTGCTACCCCATGGCACAAGGGAGAAATTGGTGAAGATACCCAGTCGTGACTGACGGGACAGGGTTGTAGTAATGTTCTTCAGTACTGCCGTAACCTGACTTACATTTGTGTTGGGAAACCAGCGTCCTGTAAACCTGTCCACCACAGACTTAAATAGGTCAACATTTTGACGCTTCCTCTTGTCTAAACGCTTCAATTATAAATTAAATTTCTTATTACCGAAAGACAAAACTTAGTTTTTTCGTCACTCCATTCAGTAAGACGCTCTCATTGCCACCGCCATGTTTGTTTTACTGATTTGTCACTTGGCTGAGGCAGCTGGTCAGAGACCGGGGTGAGGTGTCTACATGCCACAGTATCCAGTTTTCTGCCAGTGTTCTCCAGGTGACAAAATCAGGTTTCTCAAATCAGGATAAGGGCTAATCCAGGTTAATATATTATATTTACATGCACAAACACAAAAACCGGATACTTTAGTCCATGTAAACACACTTATTGATGTGTATGTTAAGGCCTGTATATGTACATGTTAAGATGAATATTGCTTCGTATTCAAATCACTTAATGTCCCTCATGTTGATTGAATTTGTTTTCACTGTTTTTACTTTATGATTTTGTGGTATTGATGAAGCTGTTGCAGGTTAGAACTGAATTTGTTGATTTTGGACAAGTGTTTCTTAATGATAACATGTGTAACATTGATCAGGACATTGGAGCGCAAGTCATTTATGAGATTGATCACTTAGGAAAAAAGGACATCTGCCACTTAAGTGAAGACTGAGCTGCCTGTACTAGTGTCAAACATGTCAGATTTTAGCATCAAATCTTAAACTAAATGCATTTTGGGTGTTTTGTGTTGTTATATTGCCGTGTTTCTCTTTGCTTAAAAAAAAAAAAAAGAATAATCTCAGAATTTGGTTACTAAGAAGTTAATTGCAGAAATGGTTCAAAGTATGTTGTACTGAAAACAATGCTTTATTTTTTGATTGTTATATTAAAGATGCTGTAATAAATTGATTTAATTGGCTTTATCTTCTATTTGTTGATTTATTTCAGTATCATCAGATATGTTTTTTTGTCTCATTATATCCTCTCTGCCTTTAACAACACTTTTTTTCTACAGAGTACACACATTACTCCAGGTTTCTATAGTTCCAGGTTGGACGAGTTTAGGAGAGCTGGTTATTGTCCAAAACCTCACAATTTAGTTCGATTTCAATTCTTTGGGTCACGTTTCGATTTGATATTGATCAATATGCTTCGATATCGATTTGATAATGCATACAGATGACAGGAATACCCAGATAACTCATCACAGTACCTTTACCGTACCTGATATTTGTTCAATAATTATGTGTGCATTGTTTGTATTGGTTTAGAACAAACTGACTCCATGAATTTAATTGTTGCATTATTCTTTAATAAACAAAGAATAAAACTTTAAAGTACAGTATGGTCTAAAGTTCACAGTTGTGCCTTACCTGAATTTACAGCGCCCCCAGTGGAGAGGGGTGTCACTACAATGAAAAAGATTGACTTCCCTGAATTGATATTGAATTGGGAAAATAATAATTGCAATGCACTGATGAATCGATATTTTTAACCAGCCCTAGAGTTTAGGTTCACTTAGCTAAAGTTTTAAACTCAGTAAAGAAACCAAACAAACATTAATGATGACTCATGTTTACCAAAGTTTATCCATTAAGGTTACAAACCTTACATTTTAATGAATATCTTTATTCTGTCAATGCATTATTTTAACTCTCACATGGCCACCTCTACAGTCTGCCCTGAGGTGTCCAATGACTGACACCCTCACAAGCTTCTACGCCGATATACTGTGTAAAAAATCATCCTTCAGTTACCACCATAAATATAATGCAAATACTTTATTAATGTACTAACTTTGTTTTTAATGATAGAAAAAACATGCTCAACTCCCTTTCAAAGTAAAACAACTGGGTGCTGAATACCAAAAAATGTTCAAACAAGAAAAACAATTAGGACAGCACTCCAAAATTGTATTTTAATTATCACACAGATGTTTCGAGCAGACGCTCTTCTTCAGCGTGTAACAGGCAATTTTGTCAAATATACACAGGTGGGACTAATTTAGACTTGTCCAAAAGAAGTACTGGTCCATCCAGCAGAGGGATTCTCTACCACACCTCTTTCAACACCAAAAGTCAATGAGCGTCTATAACTCGAGGTACAAAGGCTGTGTAATATACAGTGGGTACGGAAAGTATTCAGACCCCTTTACATTTTTCACTCTTTGTTTCACTGCAGCCATTTGCTAAAATCAAAAAGTTCATTTTATTTCTCATTAATGTACACTCAGCACCCCATCTTGACAGAAAAAAAACAGAAATGTAGAAATTTTTGCAAATTTATTAAAAAAGAAAAACTGAAATATCACATGGTCATAAGTATTCAGACCCTTTGCTGTGACTCTCATATTTAACTCACATGCTGTCCATTTCTTCTGATCCTCCTTGAGATGGTTCTGCTCCTTCATTGGAGTCCAGCTGTGTTTAATTAAACTGATTGGACTTGATTAGGAAAGGCACACACCTGTCTATAGAAGACCTTACAGCTCACAGTGCATGTCAGAGCAAATGAGAATCATGAGGTCGAAGGAACTGCCCAAGGAGCTCAGAGACAGAATTGTGGCAAGGCACAGATCTGGCCAAGGTTACGAAAGAATTTCTGCAGCACTCAAGGTTCCTAAGAGCACAGTGGCCTCCATAATCCTTAAATGGAAGAAGTTTGGGACGACCAGAACTCTTCCTAGACCTGGCCGTCCAGCCAAACTGAGCAATCGTGGGAGAAGAGCCTTGGTGAGAGAGGTAAAGAAGAACCCAAAGATCACTGTGGCTGAGCTCCAGAGATGCAGTAGGGAGATGGGAGAAAGTTCCACAAAGTCAACTATCACTGCAGCCCTCCACCAGTCGGGGCTTTATGGCAGAGTGGCCCGACGGAAGCCTCTCCTCAGTGCAAGACATATGAAAGCCTGCATAGAGTTTGCCAAAAAACACATGAAGGACTCCCAGACTATGAGAAAGAAGATTCTCTGGTCTGATGAGACCAAGATTGAACTTTTTGGCTTTAATTCTAAGCGGTATGTGTGGAGAAAACCAGGCACTGCTCATCACCTGCCCAATACAATCCCAACAGTGAAACTTGGTGGTGGCAGCATCATGCTATGGGGGTGTTTTTCAGCTGCAGGGACAGGACGACTGGTTGCAATTGAAGGAAAGATGAATGCGGCCAAGTACAGAGATATCCTGGAAGAAAACCTCTTCCAGAGTGCTCAGGACCTCAGACTGGGCCGAAGGTTCACCTTCCAACAAGACAATGACCCTAAGCACACAGCTAAAATAACAAAGGAGTGGCTTCAGAACAACTTTGTGACCATTCTTGACTGGCCCAGCCAGAGCCCTGACCTAAACCCAATTGAGCATCTCTGGAGAGACCTGAAAATGGCTGTCCACCAACGTTCATCATCCAACCTGACAGAACTGGAGAGGATCTGCAAGGAAGAATGGCAGAGGATCCCCAAATCCAGGTGTGAAAAACTTGTTGCATCATTCCCAAGTAGACTCATGGCTGTACTAGCTCAAAAGGGTGCTTCTACTCAATACTGAGCAAAGGGTCTGAATACTTATGACCATGTGATATTTCATTTTTTCTTTTTTAATAAATTCGCAAAAATTTCTACATTTCTGTTTTTTT